TTGCTTCGGCAAGTACGGTGACACCACTATTTTGCATTGTACTTTTATCATCTTGTTCCTTGGTATAAAATGTGTATCCATTAATTGCGTATGCGCTATAAGAAAACACATGCAAACTTGGACTATATGCTAAACATCTCAACCTTTCTGTTATTGAAGCGAGATCAGAATAAAAATTTGAAAAAATATGCTCTTTGAACCATGTCATAAAACTTCGATTGTGCTCACGTACTATCCAATTTTCATTTCTATTCAGATTTAAACCTCGGAGAACGTCCTTGTGCAATTTAACGTACTGCTCAACCTCAATGTCATTGTGCAGAACATACAAATTCACTTGCTCCCGTTCATCCCTTGAAATTGTCACAACTTTATTTCCAATTAACTGTTTACCTACTATTTTTTCAACAACATGAGATTTTGGGAGGCTAATGGATTGAACGTTGGAAAAATATTCAGTACAAAACTCAATAGCTTCTTCAACAATGTATCGTTCAACAATACATCCCTCTGGTCGACTTCGGTTTTTCACATACCCTTTCAATATTTTCATATAACGTTCAACAGGGTACATCCATCTCATATAGGCAGGTCCACACAGTTGTGTCTCTTTCACAAGATGCACAACTAGATGTACCATTATGTCAAAGAATGACAGAGGGAAATACATTTCAAGCTCACACAAAGTAATAACTATTTCTTTTTGCAATGTTGGTAAGATCGAAGGATAGATCACCTTACTACAAATAGATCTGGAAAAAAAACACAATTTAGTTATTGCGCATCTCACTTTTTCTGGCAAAATAGAATGTATACCTATTGGTAGAAAGTGTTCCATTAGAACATGGTAATCATGTGTCTTTAAACTCTTTAACTTTAGGTCTTTCATAGAAACAAGTCTTCTAATATCTGAAGAGTATCCTTCTGGAACTTTAACTTCACTCAGAAACTTACACATTATCTTTTTCTCCTTTCTAGACAAAGTATATGCAGCAGATGGTAGATATGTGCGATTTCCTTTCTTCAAGGGTCCTAATTCATTTCTTATTCTCATTGCTACCAAGTCCTTTCTTGCTTTAAGGTCATCCTTAGACTTTCCTTATATATTGAGTAACGTACCAATAACACTTTCAAATACATTTTTTTTCAATATGCATAACATCAAAAAAATGTCGTACATACAACGACTTCCAATACGGCAACTCAAACAAAATTGACCTCTTCTTCCACCCACGCGTGGCAAGCGTATGAGCAAAAGGCTTGCCAAACTTAGTACTCACATCTTTCACCTTTTCAAAAATTTGTTCGCCGGTCAATGTAGGTGGAGCTCTACGTTGTTCTGAATTTCCATTGAATGCTTTTCTCCATCCACGGTAGTGATGATTAGAATTTAAGAATCTACGATGACCAAGAAAGACATTCTTCTGACCAAATTCCAACAGCGTCCAATCTGTGTTTTCTTCACAGATAGGACACACACATTGACCTTTAATGCTATACCCCGATAGATTTCCGTATGCTGGGAAATCATTAATTGTGCCAAACAACATGGTCCTCAAATTAAAACTTTCTTTCCTATATCCATCATAAACCTCCACACCATTCTCCCACAAACTCTTTAAGTCTTCGATTAAAGGTGTCAGGTATACGTCTATGTCGTTCCCTGGTTGTTTAGGGCCAGAAATTAACATAGATAACATCATGTACTTACGCTTCATACATAGCCATGGAGGTAGGTTATAAATCATAAGAATTACAGGCCAGGTGGAATGTGAGATACTTTGCAGACCATGCAGATTCGTTCCATCAGTCGATAATGTCAAACGAAGGTTTCTAGCTTCTTCTCCAAAATCAGGATAATCATTATCAATTTTCAGCCACTGTGGTGAATCTGCCGGATGTCGATACTTCCCATCTATAATTCTATCATCTGCATGCCAAGTCAGGTGTTTTGCATCTGTTTCACTACGAAACATGCGTCTGAATCTCGGAATTATAGGAAAATACCATAAGACTTTTGCTGGTGACAACTTTTTCTTATACCGAGATACACCGCATTTAGGACACTCGTTTAATGATGCATATTCATTTCAAAACAAAATGCAATCATTTGGACAAGTATGTATCTTATCATAGCTCATACCAATATAGCATAACATTTTTTTAGCTTCATAGGTTCGATTTGGAAGAACATTATCCTCCAGAAGCATCTCTTGAAGTAGGGCTAACAACTCTGTGAAACTTTTATCCGACCATCCATTACCCGCCTTTAAGTTGTACAACTTTAATACCGCAGACAATCTTGTGAAAGTAGTGCAACCTTTATACAACGATTTCTCTGCATCGCTTACCAACCTCTCAAACATCTTTGGACAATCTTGAAGATCTTCTTCAAGTGCTTCTGCAATCTCTTCGACTCGATCACAATCGTATGTATCCCTGCCATTGTCCTTTGAAGCGGAGGTCATATTATTCTGGGGTTCAACATTCTCGTTACTTATCTCACCATGTAATGTCCAACATGTGTAACTTCGATTAATTCCATGTCTCATTAAATGAGATTCCAACTGAACCGCGTCAATTCGACGCCCATAACAGCAACCTAAGCAAGGACATGTGATCCTACTGGGGTCTTTGGCATGTTCAATAACAAACTTAACAAATTTCGATACCCCATTCTCGTACTCTTTTGACAATCGATTAACAGACATCCATTTTTTATCCATACTATGAAAGTTAAGCAAAAACAGAGAATACCTGTAAAGAAATTGCTAACTTCTAAGAAAGTTGTACAGTAGGATGCTTGGAAACAATCACAACCTTGCTCTTCTCAGGTAGCCCCTATAACAGACAATATATAAATTTTATTAAAATCATATTAATAATTAACCAAAACAAAAATACTAGATAATCCACCAAAACAAATCATATTAAAAAAACTAGATAATAAATATATTGTAATTGAAATTGAATCACTCATTTATAATAAATATAATATAATAAACTATCTATTCCCTTTCTACTATTAAAGCATGCTTTCATGAAGGTGATGCATAGTTTATATTCTTCACCTACAAACAACAACACACTCTTTTGAAAAATCCCATAACTACAAACACATTCCATTTGCAAGAAATAGAAAGAATCACATTCCAATAATGCATTCAACTATCAGAATAATAAATATGAAAAATGAAAAACTTCAAATACCTCAAAAATGGTGGAAATGCGTCGGTGGTGGAAATGGACGGACGGATGAAGAAGGACGAAAGTGGACGGACGGTGGTGGAAATGGACGGACGAAAGGAGGAAAGGAAAATCAGAGTTAGGGTTCGTTTTCGCGTCTGGGAAAGAAGAAGATGAATACTGTTATGTTATGCGCTTTAACTGGGAATTTTAAAATTTATGCTACTTAAACCTATAGCAGCGCTTTTACATGGCATTTAGCAGCGCTTCTAAAACGCTGCTATAGATATGCCTTAGGACCCTCTTTAGCAACGCTTTTTTACCCCTTTAGCAGCGCTTTCTAAAAGCGCTGCTTATTCCCCCTCCCCCTCCCACTCTATAGCAACGCTTTTTTAGAAAGCGCTTTCTTAGACCCCCCTTTAGCAACGCTTTTTAAAAGCGCTGTCTTAGACCCCCCTTTAGTAGCGCTTTTAAAAAGCGCTTTCTTAGACCCCCCTTTAGCGTGTCTTAGACCCCCCTTTAGCAGCGCTTTTAAAAAGCGTTTTCTTAGACCCCCCTTTAGCAGCGCTTTTTTACAAAACGCTGTCGTAAGTATGCAATTTTTTTCTTTTTTTTAAGACTCTTTAGCAGCGCCTTTTCAGAAAGCGCTGTCTTTTATAGCGCTGCTAAAAGTCATTTCTGTTGTAATGGAACTTATAACGAGTCGTGTTTGAGCTTAAAAAAAAGTTCATGTCGAACTCGAACTCGAACTAGTTCTTAATGAGTCGAGCCGAGCTGAGGTGAGTTCGACTCGACTCGACTCATTTTCAGCCCTAATCGTATCATTCGTATATATAAAGTTAAAGATTCGTCGTTGAGCTAACTTGTTCTATTATAAAATGCAAGAAGGAAGATTAGATATACTGCAAGCCACATAATGTTTAGTTTAAACATTTGTCAACATTTAGTGACCAACAACAATGTCATTCTCATAAATATATAAACAGCAATGATATCTTTACACCCTTTGTTACATTTACACCATATGTACTGTTCACAAATACAATGAACAGTGTCGTGAACAGTGAATCCGTACGTGAACAGTGTCATGTAAATAGTGTCATATGTGTGAACAATATCCATAAATAGTGTTTTGCAAACAGTATATGAACAGTAACTTTTAAAATTGGTTAATACACTGTAAAATGTTGGTTAATGAAACTTTGAAGTTGGTTAATAAATGTTTAAATATAAAAATAATTTTTAGAAGTAAAGTAAAGTTGGTTAATGCAATATAAAAAGTTGGTTAATGAAATTATAAAATTGGTTAATAGATGTCCAAATATAAAAGAAAAATTAATTTTTATACATTTTTTTAAAAAATATTTTATTATTATAATGTTTTACTGTTTACTGTATTGATAAGCATAAAATACAGTGTAGTGTATAGATTTATGTAAAAATAACATTTCTCATATATAAATGAAAACTATGGAAAAAAAAACTTAAAACTTTCTCATGATATATATTATAAAAAGATTTCTTAATTTTCAACAATGCTAAAGAAAACTCTGATCATAAACATAACTTAAAAAGATTCATTGATAATACAACACCTCATTACATAAACATCACTACACACAACAAAAACACACTAAACCCAATCAAAGCTAGAGCAAACTAGCTCATCAACCATGATCACAAAATGAAGTTTTAGTAAAAAAACTTCATGTTATTGAAGGGATTCACCATTGATCACAAGCACATTTACTAGTATGATTTAGTGACATCTCAATATGTTATTGAAGGGATTCACCATTGATCACAAGCACACTTCAATACACACTAGTATGATTTAGTGGCATCTCAATATGAGGAGCTCCAAGAGGACAGAAAACAACTTTATAGTTAGATCCAGCTGGACAAGTGAAAGTACTCGTTGGATCATCTTGAGGGTAACTATAAGAATCATGACATCTATCCTTAAAAAACCTTGAGAAATTAGTGGGTCCACATGTTCCTTGTCCATTAGTACAACAATATTCATTGGTTTTATAAACAGTACAAGGGTTGTTACAACCACCTTGTGTCCTCAGCTCATTAGGGCATTGTCCGTTGATATCGGCGGTGCAGCTGATTTTATGACATCCGCCGTTAAGAGGGAAGAAATCCATTGGAATGTTGAATCCGTCGACGAGTGAGATGTCATAGAAATCTTGATTTCCGAATTGGTTTAACGCGAATTCGGCCAATGTGTTCGGTGGGACACCCCAACCAGTGCACTGGAGTCCACCGGTGCAGTCACCTGTCTGACAGCGGCCACGACCGCTGCCATCAAAGTTGCAGCCGGTGCGACCCCAAATACGAGCCATGGCGGTTCCAGGATTAACCCAGAGATTCCATGTTTGACCGCGGTCGAGACGGCGACCACCGCCGGGGCTAGAAGCTGCCCAAACGGTGTAAGGGCAATTGTTGACTATCTCAAAGTTGGCTGCTTGGGAGGGAGTGAAGGTGAGGAGAAGAGAGCATAGTGTGAATGTGAGGAGTGATAAGAAAGACATTTTGTTGTATTGTATGGATATTGGATGAAATGGAAGTATCCTAGTTGAGGTTTATATAGGCAACTTTGAGTGATTAAAGCAACTATTATTAGTCATATTACTTTTTTCAATAGTGCTCAAAATGATAATGAACTTTGGTTTATAAAAATATCTTAGATACAGAATTATATAATAGGTGAAGACCAACTTGACTATTTTGGTGTTATATACTTACGGTAAACAGTTTAATAAGTATTTTTTATAGCATAATAATTATATTTTATATTTATTATTAGTATTATTCATCATATCACCCATCAATTTGGCTGCTTCTTGTGAATATTTTATATAGTCTTTACTGGCGTGTGAGAATATAAAAGGAACAAATTGACACAACTTTCATAATGAAATGACCCGGCGGCTATCTGCCTAACTAGCTTAGCTCTTTAATGAAGATAATATATCAAAATAATTTGATGTCATTTTAATTTCGAATTTCAGTTATAAATAGTATAGGCTAATTAAGATCATATTTTACTTTTTTTTTCTGTGATTAAACAAAGATAAATCTAGATACGTGGCACCGCTTTGATCGGGTTTTGTTCGGGTTAACGGGTGTTGTCCACCACTAAGATAAGCAAGTGAGATATGAATAAAGTAAGAGACGGTTCTGTCGAAAGTTCATGTAAAAATAACACAAATTAAATAATCATAATTTTAACTCGATACTTATTCCACCTTATCTACTTCATAAATTTTTCCATTGAGACTGATCATTGTTTATCGCTAACAGAAAAACATATTATAGTAATCTTTATTCAACAAATCCTTAAAATACTATTTAGAAGTATTACGGTATTACTTAGCATATAACTATGATACTGTATAAATAAACCCATCATATAACACAGGCTTGTGAACGGTCTTTGGTTTTATAATGTTAGAGTTAAGATTTTGATACTCAGTGCGGTTGGATTATAGTGTAGTGTTTGTTGAAGTATTTGGTGTTTTAGAAATCAAATCTTTTTTAAAGTCGAAAGTGGAGATCCGGAATTGGTGAACATAGAATTGTTTTAAATTATTGGTGGTAACACTTGTAGTTACTATGATAGGGTTAATTATCTTTGGATTTACTTATAAATGTAGGATTTTGTTAGTTCTTTTAGATAGTTGAAGGTTGTATTCGGGTTGAGATATTTCTAGTACCTTTATTATTATACTAATTTTGTTTATAAAAAAAATAATCAACCCATGATATTGATATTGTAAGTAGACATATATAAGAATATTCTTTATTGAGAGAAACTATCATGACAGTTTTTTAGGCATAATTAGTTATTTAATTTAATTTAATTTTTCGCTTTAATCTCTTAAGTTTAAAAATGTTAAATATTTGTTTCTAAGAATTGTTCTATTATACTAAAAGGTTTGTGCCATTAAAAATTTAGAGAAAACAAAAAATTAACTTAGACATGTAGCGTGACAGATAGACAAACTGAGTTAACATATATATTAAAAAATATTTTTTTTTAAAAACTAAAGATGTTTTATTTTAGGAGGTTAAAAACTTCCGCAAATCATTAATAACATATAGAAAAATATCAAACACTTCCATAAATAAACAATTTATAGATCAAACAAATATTTGCAACAACCTTTCCTAAATTAGTTCATATCTGCAACAACATGTATATCAACAAAGAAAAATATAATTTAAATTAATATAAAGAGAGTGAAAGTTCCATAGCGAAGAGTCCAACTAACAAAATCCTCAATATAAGCCACAATAATTTGGTTTATCAACATGATTATTCTTTGTGTTGTGTGGTACAAACTATAGAAACAACTACTCCCATGTTTTCCTTCAACAATGTTCATATCAAATTGGTCAATTGCAAAGGAAATGATCCAAGGTCTTATTCCACCAGTGCCAATTGATAATCAGAATAGACCAAAATTTAAGATCCATAGTTGAAAATTTGTGTGGTCATTTGTTACCTTGAATTTTTTGACTTAGTTATAAGTGGCAAGTATTAATAAGACAACAATAAATATGCCACATGGAAGTCAAGGTAAAATGGAGTCAAAAGAAGGTTAAGTTGACTCAAGGTCAGGGGTCACCCATAGTGATGTCGGTCAAAGAAGTGGTAGGTCGAAGAATGTTGAAGAGTTCAGGGACTTAGTAAAATTGAGTATTGTGTTATGTTGGCTAAGGTTAGACTTCATCATTGCAAAGGAAAAAATGTTAACTTGGGCACTGCATGTGGAAAGTACTACAAAGTGTGTTGTCATAGCATGGTCAACCCAAAGGACTTCGACGTAGGAAGTCAGTTCCTGATGACCAGTAAAAGTAGTTAAGATATTTGAATGATGTTAAAAGAGCAGGAACTAGTTAAACACAAACGGTTACTCGAAGACACGTGGAGGTTCGTCGGAAGAAACTAATGCACGTGACTGAAACGTTTCGTGATAGGGTTAGTCGACCATTCTTAGGTAGTTATATATAGGAACTCATGTTCATTTTACAAATGGTCCGCAATTGTACTCATATTTTTGTAAACTTAAAGTATTTGCGCATTTGAGAAACAAGTGAGAAAAATGTATGAATATCAATTTCAAGTCTTTTTGCATTCGAGTACTTTTTCTACATTAAGTTAATTTTCTATTTCACTTTACAATTCACGCTTTTACTTCATCTTGCACTTCAATTTCAGTCTTTATTTTAAAAACCTATATTCTCAAGCCTTGTTTCAAAGTAACCTTGAAACTTTCTTCAAAGCATTATTATTCGACTTCCACAATAAAAATGTTGTTCAAAGTCATAAGTGCGCACAAATATGTTTGGGGAGATTTTCGAGTTTGATCTCTTAAGTATTAATAAAAACTTGTTTCGTTTATCAAATTTCACAATAAACACCATTACATACACCAAGTTGTTGTTGTTCAATTGAAAATAGTTCTGGATGAAGTTATGGCATCCATGCTGTTAGCATCAGTATCATCATCCCTATAATGTAATAATTTAAATTGTTAAACATACATTCAGTTTTAAATATATTAGCAAACATTTTTAAATAACTGTTGTCACAAATCAGTTACTTAATGTTAGTTGATATTTATTTCATACTTATCAATTATATTAAGAATATTTTTGTTAAACTCCTAATTTAACCACTGTGAAGACATTGTTGAAAGCTGTTAAATTCTGGTATTTTCTACTGATCAAATTTCAGCAAATACCTGAATTCAACAGTATGGCCACTTTAGTTGGTTTTTTTTTTTTTTTGGATTATTCTCTCAAGTGTATAAATACATTTTGTAATTTCCAATTCCAATTAATGCCAATTTTAATTCATCCAATAATACTCTCTATCCTAATTCTCTTTCTCTCTCAATTTCATCTTCTTCTCCAATTTCTTTTCCACCATTGTTACTACCTTCAATCTCTGCTTTTTGTATGTTGTTCTAACATTTGGCATCAAGAGCTCCGGTTATTGATCCTAATCCGCTGCAACAATGGCTACCGTTTCTAATGATTGAATTACCACCAATCTAACAATTCTTGATTCAAAGAACTACGACATATGGGCGAAACAAATGAAGGTTCTGTTTGGTTATCAAGAGGTTCTTGAGATCGTCATCAGTGGAGTAACACCGTTAGGGGCAGATGCTACCGAAGCTATTAGGGCTACACACAAGGAAGAAAAGAAGAAGGATTACAAAGTCCTATTCTTGATTCACTCTTGTGTTGATAATGACAATTTCAAGAAGGTTGGCGATTGTGAATCCGCGAAGCAAGCATGGGAAATCTTGGAGAAAGCATATGCCGGTGCCGTCAAAGCGAAGGTGATAAAGTTACAAACTTATAAACGTCAATTCAAGTTAACGCAAATAAAGGACAAAGAAACGATCAACGATTACATTACGCGCATTACCCGGTTAGTTAATCAAATCAAGTCATGTGGCGAAACGATTCTTGAGCAGGATGTTGTATCAAAAGTGTTGCGTTCGTTAACAGCACGGTTTCGATAATATAGTTGTGGCTATTGAAGATTCAAAGGATCTAACTACTTTGAGCAAGGATGAGTTGCAAAGTTCGTTAGAGGCACATGAACAAAGGATGGATGAGAGAGGTGCCGACAAAGCCAAAGCGGAGATCGCTTTGCAAGTGCGTTTTAATAAGAAGAATAAGAGGTCGAAAGGAAAATTTGCAGCTAAAGGTAAGCCAAATTTTCAGAAGTTTGGTGCAAACGAGTCTCAAAATTCGAAGAATTCGACGGGTGAAAAGGGTGAGACCAGCTCCAAGGAGAACGATCATAACAATGGTATCAAAAGGGATTTGAGTAAAGTGCAATGTTTCAAGTGTAAAAAGCTTGGACACTTTCAATCTATGTGTCGTGTTAGATTGAATAAAACTCGAAATGATGAAGCCAAGGTTGCTAGAGAAGAGGGAGATGATGAAGACACCCTTCTAGTGATGATCACAGAGGAGAATTATGGCACTGTTGATGTTCAGAACAACGACTATTGTGGTGATAGTTTGCAGGACAGTAGCTGTACTATTTCGGAAAGTGGTGAGAAAATGCATTCGAATCGAAATGCATTAGTTACCGTGCATAATGGAGTTCAAAGTAAAGATGAATGGTACTTGGATTCCGGTTGTTCAACACATATGACGAGTCGGAAGGATTGGTTTGTGGAAATCAATCAAGTGGCAAAGAGTAAAGTCAAGTTTGCTGACGACACCACTTTAAGTGTCGAAGGGGTAGGAGATGTTTTGATCGGAAGGAAGAATGGTGGACATTCAAGGATCAAAGATGTCTTGTACATACCAAGAATTAAGTGCAATCTTTTGAGCATTGGCCAATTACTTGAAAGAGGGTACTTAATTCAATTGGAGAACAAGATGTTACACATTTTAGATTCAAGTGGTGTGTTGATTCTAAAAGCGTCGATGGCTGCCAATAGAACTTTTAAGGTTGAGTTAAAGGTTATGGAGCATCGTTGTTTAGCTACCGCGG